CATGAACATCCTCTCTCCTTCTTGAAGTGGAAGGCTGAGGGCTAGCATCTTGTTCCCTCTGCCTTTTACTGAAGAAAGTGTCAATTGTGGTCTGTTGGGCATCTGTCCTCCTCACCATTAACTTATGTTTAAAGAAGGAGACCACTGAGTCCTCAACATGACACAAAGTTAGTTCAGTTTTTTCCACTTCTGGGTGCTTTGAAGCCAGTTCCCTGAACTTCTCCCAGTGGTAAATCACATCTTTCAACTGTTTAGCTGACATATGGTCATCACTTTCAATTTCCTCCTCACCACTGTCAGCCTCTACCCGTAACATCTCATCCAGTTCCTTCAAGTCATTAGGAGTAAGTTCCTCCTCATGAGACATCACAAGCTCTTCCACATCCTTCTCCTCCACTTCAAGACCCAATGACTGACCAATGGACACAATCTCCTGGTCCAACTCTGTGTCATCCTCAAATCCCTGAAAATCATGGACTACTGATGGCCACAGTGCTTTCCATGAAGAATTGAGGGTTCTATTGGAGACTTCTTGCCATGATGACACAATCAATTTTACAGCCTCCAGGACGTTGAATTGTGTCTTCCAGAACTGTTTCAGTGTTAGTTCAGGATCAATGGAAGTTGCCTGATGACACCTCCTAAACATTTTCTTCATGTACAACTTCTTGAAGTTGCTGATCACATTCTGGTCCATTGGCTGTATGAGTGATGTAGTGTTTGGAGGCAAAACCAACACTTTCACAAAGTCAAATTTATACTCCAAATTTCTGGCAAGGTCAGGGTCATGACCAGGAGCATTATCCATGAGGAGAAGAGCCTTTAAAGGAAGTTTATTGGTGGTTAGGTAGCTCTTGACAGAGGGGCAAAACACATCAATAGCCCATTCATTAAAGAACTGTCTTGTCACCCATGCCTTACGGTTGGACTTCCAATAAACTCCAAGCATTGTTCTTACCACTTTCTGTTGCTTGAACACCCTGGGGTTTTCAGAGTGGTAGACAAGCATAGGCTTCAGTCGGAAATCCCCTGAAGCATTGGCACCAAGCAATAGAGTGAGACGGTCTTTCATGGGTTTATGCCCAGGTAAAGAGGCTTCATCCTTGGTGATGAATGTTCTTTTGGGTATCTTTTTCCAGAACAGCCCAGTTTTGTCAACATTGAACACTTGCTGTGGAAGATAATTTTCTTCTTCCATCAGTTTTTTAAATTCAATTAAAAACTTTGCTGCCCCTTCTTTATCAGCACTAGCAGCTTCACCATGCCTAACAACACTTAAAATGTCACTTCTTTTCTTAAATTTTTCGAACCAGCCTTTGCTAGCCCGAAAATCTTCAAATTCTGTTCCTGAAGAACCAGGTTGATCTGTCTTTAAATGTTCATAAATCTCCCTGGCTTTTTCACAAATGAAATCACCAGAAACTGAATCACCTTTCATCTGTTTTTCCCTAATCCAGATGATAAGTAACCTCTCAGTTTCTACGATTAGGGATCTACTTTTAAACACTCTTGTAGATTTGTCTCTCACGTTCACTTCCTTAAATTTGTCTTTTTGTGCAAGAATTGTCGACACAGTTGATGCCGACATGCCATATTCTTTGCATAGCGCATTTGATTTAATACCTTGTTCGTGTTTTTTTATTATTTCCTGCTTTATTTGGATTGAAATCACTTTTTTTGATCTCTTAGGCCCCATGCTGGATTCAAACAATGGCAACACGTATTTTTCAAAGTTAAACTAGCTGTAAATAAAGAATATTTTCTTTAAAGTAACACTGCACTGCACTATATATTGTCAATATGTAAAATAATTTTCAAAATGACCAATAATTTGCTTGGAAACACAGAAAAAAAGCGTTTTGTTGAAGAGAGTCTCAAGCAAGATGTTACCTCCAGTGAAAACAGAGAGAGACTGACGCCTGTTTGCTGTGTTAAGAGGCTGGATGCCGCGCATTAAACTAGTCACTTTACCTTCAATTATGTTCAATAATTGTTAAAATGACTAAAAAATTGAATATTAAACTTTTAAAATTATTGAATAGTATAAACTTCTTGATATTTACAAAAAATAGTAAGGAATTTAAGCCCTAGAACCGATTAATGTATTGGCGGACTGATACTAAAGCTGGTTGCCCGGTCAGTGCAAGCGAAAACATGTTGAGGTCGGTTCGTAAGAAGTTCGTTAAGCGAAATTTTTTTCGTTAAACGAATTGAAGATCCTTATGGAAGGCAGTTCGTTAATCGAAATTACGTTAACCGAGGTGTTCGTTAGCGGGGTCACTGTATATGAAATCCCAAGTTATTGAATGCCGAGTTATTGAGGGTTTACTGTAACTGTATACCGTATATCTCGGCCTACAAGGTGACGGGGTGTATAAGACGACCCCAAAAATGTCAATTTAAAAAGTAGCTTTTGAGCCCTATTCGCTGCATAAGACCAGAACCCCAAATGTGACACTTACCATTGGGAGCTTACTGACCCAGTAGTCCTTTACCAACCATCCCATTGACCAGTGCTGTTTACACATCCTTGGTTTTTTAAAATAAAGCCAATTCACTTCAAGTAATGGCATCAAACGTTACCGGTTGATGTAGTGTAAACACTAGTGACTCACTTAAAAGTTTGTTATTTAACTTGAACTAATGTCGGTGTCGAATACAATTGTTTCATTTACTTAAAATGGATTTACCGATTTATTTGTTTATTTATATCATACTGTAATATATTAAACACACTGGAAGTATTTTCTTTAATTTATAAGCTTGCTTCAGCGAGCTACAGTATTCTAATTCAATAGTGTTTCATTAGGATTTGAGTGAAAAAGATTACTGTACATACTTACTACATACATTTATTACACAAATATTTATATATATATATATATATATATATATATATATATATATATATATATATATATATATATATATATATATATATATATATATATATATATATATATATTCACAATATTTTATAATTGCAGTCATGTACTGAATATTCTATGTAAAAAATATAAATTTTAAATGAATTATTTCTAGTGTGGTCGACTTCCTACACAAAGACGGGCTATAAATAGCCGTCTTATCTCCCCTCTGTTCTGAGAGAGAAGGTCTTGGTAAATAACTTTTGTTTGTTTATTTTCATTGTTTGTCAAATTTATCATGTTGTATCAAAGTAATATTACTAAAAGTTTTTGGCAGCTACCAAACAGGGAGATTCTACTGCCTGGGAAGATATTGGAAGCATTATGTACAGTATTGTCTAATGGTAGACCCTACTTCCATATGGCATCACGAAAATTGTGACCAAGTCTTAGGTTGCTGATTTATCTTACTGCCTCATTTACACACAATTGCTGAGTTTCAATTGTTTCTCTTCCTTTGACAACACAACATACATACAATATAATGTTTCACCTTTGATCTTTTTTCCATTTATTTATGGTTGGTTATTTAAAATAATGCCAATTCACTTCAAGTATTGGCATCAAATTTTACCGCTGTTGTACACTAGTGACTCACTTAAGCGTCAGTTATTTAACTGGAACTAATGTTGGTGTGAGTAAAATATTTCCATTTACTTGAAATAGATTTGCCGATTTATTTGTTTATTTATTTAGCTATAATATATTGTAATACATTAAACACACTGCAAGTATTTTCTTTAATTATATACTTGTTTCGCGAAAAAGGGAGGCTACCATTATACCTGGTAGGTGAAGTTGACCAGACATTTATGATCATTAAGGACCAAACTCCGAATCCATGACGTGACTTCTGTTAATCATTCTCATCCTAAATTTACCACTGTCGGTAGTTTCAAGAATTAACGCAGTCATTTACTGAATATTCTTTGTAAAAAAATTAATTTTAAATTAATTATTTATAGGAGATAAGTATTATGATCAGTAAATATACAGATATGCATTACTGACCACCTCCGAACACAAGGACGGCTAAAAATAGCCACAGGCGGTCACTGTCAAGGTCGCTTTCCCTTTCTCGTCACTGGCAAATGGGGGGGGGGGGTGATGATAGCAGCTGTGTTTATTACCGGGGTATATTGTTCTTTTACGGTATGTTAGACTGGTTTATAATACATTTTTATTATTTTAATATACCGGTAATCTTCATTTTAATCCAGCTTCCCAAATGTAAGTTTCAGTATAAAATAATTAGTGGTAGGACCTTGTGAGTGGTTTACCATGTTTCCATCACCACTCTTGACACGCTAAACCGCAAAATTTAAGAGGTAAGAATTTTATCTCTGGTGCTTAAGACGACCCCCTAACTTTGGGCTGATTTTTTTTTGTTCAAATTCCGTCTTGTAGGCCGAGATATACGGTAACTGTTATTGTTCTTTTGACTCTTTGAAACCCACACATAATTGTCATTGCAATACTGTACAGCAAAAAATCTATACTGTTGTTTGCAACATATTTGTAGTGAGAAATCATTTCAGATTAATTATTAGCTCATTTTGACCAATTTCCTATTGTGTTTTTTCTTGTTTTATTCAGACAATTTCTATATTGCTCCCACTTAGTTATCACTTTACTAATTAGTTATTAAATTTTGTTCTTTTCATCCATTCATTGTAATACCTGTACAAACAATGTTGAAGTCTCATCACACAGCAGAATGTGAGCATTGTCATGCTTAGGGTAAATTATTGTGTTGCATGCAGGAGGAACTGGAGTTCCTAAAGAAAACTTGCAGTGCTTAGTAAGTTCACACTGGACAACACACTTCTCACATTCATTATGCTCTTTGGCATGGTTAAAGATGTATATACTGTAGATATACCAGACTTTTAATTATAATGCAATTCTATAGAATAGTACTGTAATTGTATAGACATACTGTACAGTACAGTATGCTGTAATTTATTTTATATGATACATATTATGATTAATTAAACAATATCTTTATTTTACCTAACTCGCATAATGTGTGAGCAAAGTAACCACATGTTAAACTTTAGAGATCATTTACAGACTTTCTCCAGTTGCAAAACCCAATAGACTGGATCCTCTTCACCAGCCTTGGCTACACCCCCCAGCCAAGTGCCATTCTCTCTCTCCGTACTTCAGCCCCCGAGATCTGTACCTTACCTGATGGCCAACAAGGTAACACATAAACCAATCATTTTTTAGCTCCAAAGACCAATTGGGTAAGGGTTAAGTCACTTATTACTGTTGTTGTTTTTTATGGTCTACCAGTTTCAGTGTATTTGTCAATTTATGTGAAAAGTTTCCATTCAATATTTAAGGATTTGTGAATCAAGATGTAATTTGGTATGTGATTTATATTGCCAAAAACAAGGCCGATTTCTGCAGTCAGCATTTCATGTACATTATGTATTTTTCATAGTTATGGCACCTGCCTGACCTAGAAATATCTAGGTTTATGTTACTGGAGCAGCCTCTAATTCAGTCTATTTTTTTTGATGTGAGAACTACTAGGTACAGTAGTATGTACTAAGCAAAGTAAGTTTACAGCCAGTCAGTTTTGAAGTGCTGCTTATAAGTAAAGCAAATCAGAACTCAAAACTGAAAAGTTGAAGCCAGTAGTTATTTATACCTGTACTCTGCATACACAGCTATTTAAAGCATTCGTGGATTTTTCCAGGTTGCTTTTTTATAGCCACTAATAATGTATTTATTTAGAATGTCACTTATAAATTTATATCATATTTTATCAGCATATTGTATTACAGTTATTCTTCATTTAACAAACACTTACTTAGCAATATTTCAGTTAAGTTATTTAAAATTCTTAACAAACTTTCTTGTGTAATCGTCAAGTTTCAATTTATCAATCTTTGACTCACTGGAAAAAATTCGGGAGGGAAGTCGGAAAAAATGGGAATTCTGTTCTCCAAGTGCGCATCATTACAATATGTAATGTGACTTAGAAATAAAGAAAATACTGTACTGCACTGTAAAAACCCCATAATTCAAAATTATAGAGGCTCTAGCCCTTACAAATTATGAGAGTCTACAAATTAATGAGGGGCACCTCCTGAGGGAACAGCAAACAAAACAACAGTACTTTTTTGTTATCTGCCCCAATCAAAATTTAAATGTTTCTAAATACAGGACTGTTTACCAGAGTTAGGGTTATCAGACATAATGGCTAAAACACTGGGCAATGATGAAAAAAACAAGTGTAAATGGCTCTCATAATTCAAATTTTACCAAATATTAAAAAACAATAATAATAATATATACTGTACGTATACAGGTATTGTAATATTTAGAAATGTCTCATATTTCAAAATTTTACCAAATATGAAATTTGTAACACATTTTGTAACAGCAATACATTACGAATTATGAGTGATTTCAAATTAGGGGAGTATGAATTATGGTGGTTTTACAGTACAGTGATTTAAAGTACTGTGGTCCCTCGGGTAACGAACAGAATTCGTTCCACAGAGTCGTTCGTTAACCGAATCCACTGTTTCAATGGGATATTGGGTAATTGGTTCCAGCTTACCAAAAACTACATACAAAGTAAAATAAAAATGCAGTAAAGTACACTTACGGTACTTTGAAGTGTGTATGTAGAAGGTTCCTGGTTGATGATGATGATGGGAATTAGAAGTGGGGGTGGAGGAGAAGGGAGAAGAGAAGGAAGTAGTGATGGAGGAGAAATCACTTTTCAGGGGACCCATGCTTGATGCCGTCATTTCACCAATAAAATTTTAAGTTCACTAGGTGTAATTCAAGATTATTTTATTTAAATCAACACTGCACTGCGCTATATATTATCAATGTGTTAACTAAATTTCAGAATGAAAAATAATTTTAATGTAAAAATGCAAAAATATTCAAGACACCAACAAAATCGATGTTCACTCCACTGTCAACAAAGCCAAACTGACGCCTGGTGGCTGAGTGAAGCGGCTGATGGGCACACAAAAAAATAGTTCCCTGTACTGCATATATTATCAATATGTTAACTAAATTTTAAAATAACTAATAATTTTATTATAAAAAATGCAAAAATATTAAAGAGCACAACTTTCTTGATATTTACTCCACTAGAAACGAATGTAAACATAGAACAGATTACTGAATTGGCAGACTAGCCCATCAGCTGATGCTCACAACAAAACGTGTTTTTCGTAAGAATTTCGTTAATCAAAGTTTTGTTCGTTAACCGAATTGAAGATCCTTATGGGAGGTAATTTGTGCACCTAAATTTCGTTAATCGAACTGTTCGTTAACCGAGAGACCACTCTACTGTATTCAGTTTACATTATGGCTCACAGGAATGCAACCATGTTATAAATCAAGGTACAGTACAGTACAGTATACCTGTACCAGTGTGTAGCAAGATAACACAAAGAATTTCTCTTGTTACGGTATATAACACACCCAAAAAATAACAGTTCACATCTGGCATGAAGAAATGTTTATTCCGTATATTTTATTTTATTTATTTTTTTATTATTTTATTTACTTATGTATTTTTTGCACATTCTTTTTGAACGATTGTGTGTTCACGTAACAGGGTTAAAAAGAAGAATAAGATTACGTATATCTACCCCAAATTACAAGTTGAATAATAACATAGCTCACAGCTCAGCTTTACCTGCTCTGAGTGCTACTGGGTGCCAACTCCCAACTCTTGTATACTGTGCAGTGATATTGTCTTTGGGTTTTACATCAAAAAATTAAGTTATGTTTTTGAGAGAGTGGGTTCTTGCTCGCCCAAGCCAATGTGCATCTTGTTTGGTCAAGCTTTATGTTTTTTTTTTATCATATTCGTCACTTATCAGCTTACTAGCTGTTTGGGCGCTCTATCCAGTGTTAGTACAGGAGGAAACTGGGGACTGGGAAACCTGTGGTTTTTGGCAGTGAGGGTCACACTGGATAACACCCTTCTCGGCTGTGTCTGGGCCGAGGCTCGATCCCATGACATATTGGTGAGAGTTAGGCGCATTACCGCTGTACCACCAGGTATATGTACTGTACTAAATCTGTGCAGTATTACTTGTCTTTTAGACACAGACAAATATTAGGGAGTGAAAGAGAGATTGTACTGTGCTGTGCTATATCTTACAGGGTCGTGTCAACTGCTCAGTGCATGCCAAGCTTACCAACACTTGACAGATGACATTCCAAAGCACCTTGATCTCTTCAGGACCCTTGTCTGCAGGTAAAGTAGACTGTATCTTTATAGGCATAGCCCAGATACAGAACATGGGGACATCCAGCTGTAAAACTTTGCTTCAACATGCCTGATGGCAACTGGGTCTCCAGAGCTGTGCCCATCCCCAGGTCTCTGTTGCATTTTCTAGGCTGGCACCCTGAGTTTGCAATAGTGAACAGGGGGGGACATCCCATTCTGGATTTTACCCAACAACTGCCATTAGGTAATCATGGCTAACCCAAACAAGCATGAGAAATGACCATAAAATATTAATGATGATTCAGTAACTTAAGAAAGGCTTTATGGTTCAAAATGAAATTTGGCATACAGTATTTTCATATCATGGAAATGTAGAATGAATTTGATATTCAGCACTTCCCATATTTTATTTACAGTCATAACCCCATTTCTAGTTAGAAAATTTGATATAGGAATACAGTACATCTTTAATGATATTATAATTGTAACCATACAATAAACCTTTGTTATATATTAGCCTTGAGTTTCATGGTTCACTGTTATGTCTCAAACTACTGTAATAAGGTAACATATTCTTTTATTAGGATGCTTGAACTATCCCTGTCTATGGTAGACCAGTAAGGCCAGCATGACCTCCTGCTGAATCACCTGTGTTTGGCTTTGGTCACATGGCCACAGTTCTGCATTAAAGTATAAAACTGTACAGTACTAGTTTATATCAATTTCTTAAATTTTGCCCTCTATCTAATCTGATACACCAGAATGACACGCCATGTTGATGAACCAAGTGTGTAGTACAGTCCTTATTCTTTCTTTCCAGATTAACAACTGAATCCATCCACCTTTGCTGTCCACTGAACATCAATCACCAGCTGGGGGGTACAACAACCCAGCCACCCTCTAAGCCCTCTTCAACTTTCCAGCTGCAATCTGGTTCAGTCCCTCGGCCACAATCACCTCAGGGTCGTCCTTCCCAAGAAGCATCAAGCAAGCCTTTAACACTAATTTCTAGAACTGATGAACATCAGTCAAACACTAACACATCATCTCAATCAGCCCTGGTGGAACCTATCAGGAACTCCCCACAGTCTACTTCAGATATACCAATTCAACCTTCACCTGTCCCCCCAGGCCAATCAATCCATATTGGTTCAGTACAACCTTCATTTATATTCCCAGGACAGGCCTCACAGGGGCTTGCAGGTTCTGGACAAGAGAATAGTGTGAATGGAGGTGGAAAATTGCCATTGCCAGATCATATGCTCCCAGGCCACAGTGAGGCACTGCCAACAACACTCCCTCCCAACTCCCCAATCCTTCCTTTACTTGATGAGTGTGGTGTCTGGACTGCCAATACCACTGTGGTAGATGTAAGTAGAGAAGTGGAGAGTACTGTAATAAAAGCTTACCTTACTGGTAGTGTATAGAAATTAAATAACAATAGCAGTAATATGTAACAGTAACAAACAACAACAAAGTTAATAATAAATTATTAATAACTAGAAAGTGGCTGACTATAACTCTTGAAATAAAAATCTCCTGGAACTAGCAGGCATTGCTTAAAAAAAACAAAAAAAAAACACACACACTATCTTAACAATGATATAATTTTCTTCCCCCAAGCAGGACACTTCCTACATTTTGGGGCTGAATGTCACTCGTCCTTTATAAATTAAGTCAGAAGTTGTTGACTGTATCACTCATTTTGCTACCACTGTCTTCCACATCCTTTATGTTTAGAGGTCAGTTGCCTTCCACATTCTACCATTATTGGTCAGTGCTCAAGGAAAGTTCAAATTATCATTCTTTTCTTCTTCATACCAAGGACATCTTCAAACCTTTGGTTTCTTGAATTTTTGCCTTGCGACATTGGAAATCTCACCTTATGTGTATGTTGTTTTAATACATATTAACATGCAGGTGAATATGTGCAGCAGATTATGTAGGCACCTCTCATTATCTACAAATTAATATCTTAATCTCCTACATGGTATAAATTTTGAGTGTCATGGCTGTCATATTATATGCAAGTACAAGAATACTTCATGATTCATAACCCTGCTTATCCAAAATTTATATTTTAACACTTATTTGTTATTTGCAAAGTATACAGTACCCCACTCATTCGCAAATTAAAAATTATTATATGCTTAAGTAATATTTCAAAGTGGGCAGGCTAGCCACAGCTTTCATATTCTGAAATAAGGTCCACTTCACACATGAGTTTTTTCTTCACATACAGACAAGCGCGTTTTAGAAATTATTGAAGTTCAGTGGGAAAGAAATGTGCAAAAAAATTCACACGCTGGAGATTTTACCTCATGTCAGTTGTGGTGCATCTATGGTAGGGACTGGAAGTGCCTGTAATTAATTTTGCCAGAAGCAGGCAAACTGAAGCGTGAAAAACACTCCTGTGTTAACACATGCCTTCTCGCACATGGGGCAAAAACACTTGTATGAAGTAGGCCTAAGTAAAGCCCGACTTAATTAACGTGTGTGTGTGGACTTGGCAGGTCCTCAACCACCATTGCTACATCACCTTGCCTCTCCCCCTACTGGGCCAACCTTTAAGTTGCACAGTTGTTAATTTGTGGTGGCTGGTGTTCTTGGGAGTGTGGTAGTGGTAGGTGGTGTAAGGTAGAGGTGGCTGGTGGTCATAGGAGTGTAGTGGTGTGAGGTAGTGGTGGCTGGTGGTCATAGTGTGGTGGTGTGAGGTAGTGGTGGCTGGTGGTCATGGGAGTGTGGTGGTGTGAGGTAGTGGTGGCTGGTGGTCACGGGAGTGTGGTGGTGTGAGGTAGTGGTGGCTGGTGGTCACGGGAGTGTGGTGGTGTGAGGTAGTGGTGGCTTGTGGTCACGGGACTGTGGTGGTGTGAGGTAGTGGTGGCTGGTGGTCACGGGAGTGTGGGCGTGTGAGGTAGTGGTGGCTGGTGGTCACGGGAGTGTGGCGTGTGAGGTAGTGGTGGCGTGGTCACGGGGTGTGGTGGTGTGAGGTAGTGGTGGCTGGTGGTCACGGGAGTGTGGTGGTGTGAGGTAGTGGTGGCTGGTGGTCACGGGAGTGTGGTGGTGTGAGGTAGTGGTGGCTCGTTGAACAAGCTTTGTGTGAAATATAACAAAGTCTAGGACTGCTTTTAGTATCCTGGTGGTCCAGCGGTTAGCGTTACCCGGTCACAGTCATGGGCTAGTGGGCCGTGGGTTCGAGTCCTGGCGGGTTGAGGTGTTGATTGTATGTAGAAGTCCGCGTGCTATTGGGCTAATGAAATATATATACATATACAGTGAACCCTCACTTTACGTGGTTAATTGAACCCACGGCGGCCCGCATAAAGTGAGAAACGCTTAAAGTGAACAACATAACATATGGGATTAATTGAAATAGAGACCGGGCCGACCCCCAAACTCCACTTTTTCCCGACACAATACATACGTTTTACTAAAAATAACATCTTAACTTTATGATGGTATTCACACACACGTAATATAGAAGGGAACAATCAATAAGAGAATAATATACTGTAGGTTAGGTTAGAAAAAACAAGGTTGGGGTTAACACTTACGTTAGTAGAAGAGATGGGTCGGCGTAGGGGAATGGAGGCTGGTTCCGAGGCAGAGGGCAGGCTACTGGCCCTCAGGTGAGTCTTCATCGGTGTCATCCACACTTACTAGTGCCTTCCTGACAAATCCCTCAAAGTCATCATCACTGTCTCTGCCTCTGTCACTATCACTGGCTTGGGCTGGCTGTGGTGGGTTGCAGGCGAAGAACTCTGTTATGCTTTGCTGACGGCTGGTGTTTATGTTGTCGTGATAAACCTTGATGTAAGGCTCCATAGTCTGCAACAGCTGGGTAGTGAAGATTTCATACCTGTTTGCGTCAGGGTCGTCGGAAAGGAGGAGCTTGACTTTCTCAATACACTCGATGGCACCCCTTACATTACTATGGGATAAGCGGTGTTCTTCTTGGGATGACGCACCACCTGCCTCTTCACTGGCGTCATCATCATCTACCATCTCGTCGGTAGTCACATCAGGATCCCTTATCACCTCCAGGATGTCGTCATTGGTGGTCTCGGAGAAGCCTGCAGCTGTAACACTGCGCAGCTTCTCTGGCAAGGTCCACTGCTACTGCAACAGTCTGAACCTCACCAGTCACAGATTTACTCTGCCTAACACCCGGAATACCTTGCAACACATGTCTCCATGCGTGACGAACAGTTGCTACAGACAGCTGATCCCATGCTGCCACCAAGAAGTCCACAGCTTTCTTGACGTTGAATGTTCTCCAGAATTGTTTCAAAAGTACTTCTTGCTCTGCCAACTGTTGATCCTCGTCGTCTTCGCTCTTGCTATCTGTGTTGGTGTCACTCAGGTTGCGCAACTCTTCCTTGGTGTTGAAGTAGTCGTTCAGGAGGTTGAGTTTTTTAGCAGAGAATGCAGCTTTTACATTACAGATCAATTCTTGGTCCATGGGCTGTATTATAGACGTAGTGTTGGGAGGAAGGAAGACCACTTTTACGTTGGGGTGACGATCTAACAGTAGGGGCGAGTGTCCTGGTGTGTTGTCAAGCAGCAACAAAATCTTGAATGGCACATTCTGTTGCTCACAGAATTTCTTCACATCGGGATCGAAACAGTCATCAAACCAGGAGAGGGACAGAGTAGAGAACATCCACGCCTTACGTGCGGTCAGCCAGTGGACATTTAGCTTGGTCATGTCCATGCTCTTGTAGGCGTGCGGCTTGCGTGCTGTGTGGATCACCGATAACTTGAGCTGACAGGTACCGGAGGCATTGGTGGTAAACAGGATGGTGATGCGCTCCTTCTGCAACTTCGGGCCCCGACACTTGCTGGCATTCTTCACAACAAAGGTCTTGGAAGGTAGCTTTTTCCAAAAAAGACCAGATTCGTCCATGTTAAACACCTGGTCGTCGGTGTACTGTCCTTCCTCCATAATCTTACATAAAAACGGAGGAAATACCCAAGCCGCAACACGGTCAGCACTAGCTTCTTCACCACCAATGTTGATATTGGTGATCTTGTTCCTCTTCTTAAACCTCTGTAACCACCCAGAGGAAGCATTAAAGGGTTTGGGCTCTGTAATTCCCATCTTTCGTGACACTGCAGCATACAGTTCACTTGCGTACTCCGTAACTGAGCGCGTGTCCATCGCCATGTTCCGTCGCGCCTGACGCACCAAGTTGCTCACAAGTAATTTTTCCGTCTTCAGAAGCACCTGGTTGTGGAAATACTTGATCATAGAAGCACCTGTAGACTTTGTGATGTTCATGTGTTCCTTTATATTGGCTGCATCCTTCTTAATTGTCTTGATAGTTGATTCGTTAACACCATGCTGGCGCACGAGATCAACCTGTCTTGTTCCTTTCTCTAACTCTTGTATGATATTATATTTGATTTCGTAGCTTAAGGAACGTCATGTCTTCTTTGGCTTAGGGCGGCTGGGTCCAGGTAATGCAAGGTTTCTTTGTGGTGGTGGTGGTGGCCCAGTGGAAGCCATTCTTATGGAACAATGGATACCGATATACATGGTGTAGCCGGGAGGGGTGTAACTGACGTGGGTAGGTCAAGGTGCTTGAACGCTCCCGCGGCGGGGCACGTCATAGTACATTAAACCAATCACAGCTAGCGGGGAGGGAGGTAAGGATGCTTTGCTCAATCATAGTCGGGTACGTCATATGACGTCACCGTTAACGCAACAAAGACATACACTGCGCAACCTACTCGCGCCGCTTACACAACATTGGCGGATGGCGGGAGGTTTGGATCCAAAAATGGCGCAGCGCAAGAGGACCGCCAGCCGCTCTCCGCGTAAAGGGGTACACACACCACGGAAAGTGAGCATTCCGTGCTCGGCAGGGTACCGCGTAAACGTGGAAACGCGTAAAGTGGGACCGCGTAAAGCGAGGTTTGACTGTGTACAGTTAACCCTCACTTTACGCGATCCCGCATTCCGCGTTTCCACGTTTACGCGGTGCCCTGCCGGAACCCAGGATGCTCACATTCCGCGGTGCGTGTACCCCTTTACGCGGAGAGCGGCTGGCGAGCCGCGCCATTTTTGGATCCAAACCTCCCGCCATCCGCCATGTTGTGTAAGCTGCACGAACATGGTGCGCACAAGGTCGCCCAGTCATCAAAACATTACCAGTTCTTCACCCGCCACCCACCACAGCCGGCCCAAGTCAATGATAGTGAAAATTATGGTGAGGATATGGACTTATATGGACTTTGGGGACTTTGACAAAGAGGCCCTGCAAGCCTCTGTGGTGGATAGTGATACAATTGATACAAGTGACACAGGTGAGGGCCAATAATCTGCCCTCTGCCTCGGAACCAACCGCCCATCCCCGTGTGCCCAGCCATTTTTTCTACTAATGTAAGTGTTAAAAAACCTAATATTATTGATATTTCTCTTAATTATTAATTGTGTGTGCATACCATCATAAAGTTAAGATAATATTTTTACTTCAACATAGTTGTGTGTCGTCAAAAAGTGGAGTTTGGGGATCGGCCTGGACTCCATTTCAATTAATCCCATATGTTATGTTATTCACTTTACGCGTTTCTCACTTTCCGCGGTACCCTCCGGGTTACATTAACCGCGTAAAGTGAGGGTTAACTGTATATATATATATATATATATATATATATATATATATATATATATATATATATATATATATATATATATATATATATATATATATATATATATATATATATATATATATATATATATATATATATATATATATATATATATATATATATATATATATATATATATATATATATATATATATATATATATATATATATATATATATATATATATATATATATATATATATATATATATATATATATATATACTATATATATATATATATATATACTATATATGTATATCATATATATATATATACATATATATATATATATATAATATATATATATATATATATATATATATATATATATATATATATATATATATATATACATATACATACACACACACACACACACACACACACACACACACACACACACACACACTTTGTGTGTTAAGTGTTCATGCAAAGAAGAGGAGGGAGTGAGGGATCTCAACTGTTCTGACAAGGGCGGATCCAGGGGGGTCCGAACCCCCTCTTTTCACCAGAAAATTCCAATACTTCATCTTTAATGCAGTATTGTACTCAGGCATTTTTTAATAGTAAGAAGTATTTACTATTAACTTCAGAATATCTCCTAATATCAAGTTTGCATGGTTTCAACATGGTCAGATTTCAAAACATTTTGTTTAGGGGGTGGGGTAGGGAGCTTACAACCCCCCAGCTGGATTGGCTCGCTGTGTGCTATGTACCCCCTCCTTTTGATATTCCTGGATCCACCCCTGTCTGAGCTGCTACAGTGGGTAGTGAAGCAATTGATAAATCTCGTTGTCCAGTAACCAAATGGCAATACAGTATTTTTTATTTATTGGTATTATTTTTATCTATTTATCACGTTTATTGGCATACAATACCTATATATTTTTATTTTATTTCTCATACGAGTTGGTAACTAGAGGGAATTCAGTTTCAGAGATGGTACCACTGCTTACTAGCATTAGCTGTTGTGGTGGTCATGGTTTAGACTCGTTGGTGTTGTCTTGCTACAAAATAGAGAAACCTGAAAAAGTGCCAAATCTGCCCCCCTCACCTGGGAGACGATCACTCCACACCGTAACGCTTGGAGAAGCACCACACAAGAAGGTGTCATTACTTTTGAGTTATCCCGACTGCAGAACGAGGCAGACAAGCGCCAATGCTGGAAAGACACTGCCGCTGCCCCTCCCGCACTAGATGTAGCCCCCCCCACATGTGCAGCATCTGTAATCGACCCTGCCGGTCCCGTATCAGTCTCTTTAGTCACCTCAGAACTCAACAACCTTGGTGACATCCTTAATGACTCGTATCATTGTATCATAGCTGGATGATCGTCATACTCGATTCCAAGTAACAGTAAAGTAAGGTAGTACAGTAGTAAGAACATAAGAATGGAGGAAACTGTAGCGGACCTATTGGCCCATACTGGGCAGTCCCATTTACACCCAACCCCTATTGCTCATATATCCATCTAACCTGTGTTTGAAACTATCCAGCGCATTCAAGTAAATGATGATATTTGGTAACTTGTTCCACTCGTCCACTACTTTATTTCCAAACCAATGTTTACCTATTTCGCGCCTAAATCTAAGTTTGTTTAATTTAAAACCATTGTTGCGAGTTTGCTCCTGGTTGGATAGTTTGAGTACCTTTGTAATGTCCCCTTTGTTCAGCCCTGACTTCCATTTACACACCTCGATCATATCGCCCCTCACTCTACGTCTCTCGAGGGAATGCAAATTAAGATGCTTTAACCTGTCTCTGTACTCAAGGTTCCTAATGCCCGGGATTAATCTAATATTTCTCTAAAGCTAGGGTCTTATTATAGGTTGATTTAACAATGAGTACGGAAAAGGAATAGGTTCCAAATCTTCATTATTCTGCATTGTTGTGATGTGGGCTGGGCTGGCGAGATATGGTCCCCACTGCATCGCTCCACAACAATAACAGTGACCTACAATATACCACAATATTTTCACCTTTAATGAAAATAAAATAAACTATTATATATTTTCTAGAGACAAAGTGTGGACAGAGAATTCTGTTGGCTATCACAAAATATTTATCATTTACTATTTATCAGCTTGTTTTCAGTCTGGGGTTTGGAGGATGGAGAAATTAGGTGACTGGTATTAGGTTCTTATATAAGTTTCTTGCTTGCACAAATATATACCTACATAGCTAATAATATTTTACAAATTTGTATAAATTATTGCACTTGCCTGTCAATACTGCATCCTGGGTTCAATTACCAGTCAAGGTCAGGTGGGAGACTGGGGTTTTCATTGTTCCCTACCAAGCATCACAGGTTTCCTGGACTTCAGTTCCCTCCTATATTAACACTGGACAATGAAGGCTGTAAGAAAATAACAAAGAAGAGATTGACTGCCTGAAAACCCAGCAAGCTGATAAGTGGTAAATTGATGGAGAAAAAAATCTGAATATTGATTAGAGACAGAAAATTCAATTGCATTAATCATTTTGCCTTTACAGGGAGGAAAGTGGCCATGGCTGGCAGCCTTGGGCCAATTTCAAGGCTCACAGTTTGAGGTGGCTTGTGGTGGAGCTCTAGTTACACGCAGGCATGTCTTAGTTGCTGCTCACTGTCTTTTAGATTCCCTTTCCCCTAACCTGTGAGTACTTTTGTCCTATTTCTATCTGTCTGTATATTTGTTAATGTAATATTTACAGGCACATCCTGTCTGTTGCAATACAATGTAACTTCTCACATTGTGAGTTTAACTGTCTAGGCTTTTTTCTGTCTCAAGGAGTGAGGATAGGAGAAAAAGAGAGAGAGAAAGAAAGAAAGAGGCTTTTAGTACAAATATTTTTGTCTTCTCATTACCATGACTGGGATGTAATATCATCCCCAGTGTTGTATCTGAGCAGTACAATACTTATATATATTTACATTATAGTCTCTTGATAAACTATGAGTGTTCTGTGAATATTTTGATCAGTTAGCTTCATCATTTATATCTGTATAGTGTCTTCTGGCAAACATGGTTCTCCTTACCTTCAGGAGTCATCCTTTGTCCTAGGAGGTAATGTTGTATATATATATATATATATATATATATATATATATATATATATATATATATATATATATATATATATATATATATATATATATATATATATATATATATATATATATATATATATATATATACCTCGTTTAACGAACACCTCGGTTAACGTAATTTCGATTAACGAACTGCCTTCCATAAGGATCTTCAATTCAGTTAACGAAAAAAAATTCGTTTAACGAAGTTCTTACGAACTGACCTCAACATGTTTTCGCTTGCACTGACCGGGCAACCAGCTTTAGTATCAGTCCACCAATACATTAATCGGTTCTAGGGCTTAAATTCCTTACTATTTTAGTAAATATCAAGAAGTTTATACTATTCAATAATTTTAAAAGTTTAATATTAAATTTTTTAGTCATTTTAACAATTATTGAACATAACTGAAGGTAAAGTGACTAGTTTAATGCGCGGCATCCAGCCTCTTAACACAGCAAACAGGAGTTAGTCTCTCTCTGTTTTCACTGGAGGTAACATCTTGCTTGAGACTCTCTTCAACTAAACGCTTTCTTTCTGTGTTTCCAAGCAAATTATTGGTCGTTTTGAAATATATTTTACATATTGACAATATATAATGCAGTGCAGTGTTGATTTAAAGAAAATAATCTTGAATTACACCAAGAGAGCTAAAATTTTACGGGTGAAATGGCGCCATGGGGTGACTTCTCTTCCACCCCAATGCCTTCTCTTCTTCCTTCTCCTCCACCCCCATTCTAAATCCCATCATCATCATCATCATCCAGGAGCCTTCTACATACACACCTCAAAGTAAGTGAACTTTTCTACCATATTTGTTGAATTAAGGAAATTTTCGGTGAGCTGGAACCAATTACCCAAAAACCCATTGAAACAATGGTTTCGGTTAACGAACTTTTCGGTTAACGAACGACCTTCTGGAACGGATTGAGTTCGTTAACGGAGGGGTCACTATATATAAATATATATATAATATATATACAGTGAGTTCTGCTATAACGCGTGTTTTGATAACGCGAATTAGCTCTAACGCGATTTATGAATTAGGAACGATATTTGTATAATGCGAACGCTTGTTTGCTATAACGCGATTTTTGCTTACTATTTCTCCAATTTTGTGTATTAACTGTGAATATAGTAAAGAAGAATATCAACAAGAAGCGTTCTGGTGATAGAATTCTAGGTGATGATCGTAAAAGAAAGGATATAACACTTGAAGAGAAGCTCGATTTTATCAACCTCAAAATCACCCTTCTCCCCCATCAAGTAAAGTGTAACATTTACTGTATGATTTCATTATTAGATATGAATGTAAAATTTATTTAGACTGTGCTATCCTTTGTGTTAGGCAAACTACTAAATTTTTTCGATTTCGAGTACTCTGCACCTAACCCTATTTTCTCCATAAGCCCTGTTATTTCTATTACGCGATTTTCTATAACACGATATTTGACAAGAACACAATTATCGCGTTATAGCAGAACTACCTGTATATATATATATATATATATATATATATATATATATATATATATATATATATATATATATATATATATATATATATATATATATATATTTATATTTATATTTATATTTATATATATATACATATATATATATATATATATATAT